ACTTTTCTATCACACAAAAGACCCGAAGTATTCCTCCACTTCAACCAACCAACTTGAACTCTACTATTAACATCCCCATCTATATCACCATCGCTTTGAACAACAGACCCAAGATATCTAAATCGTTCACACCTTTTTAATAATTTGATCACCCAAAGTCACATTTCTGTCACTAGAGCTATTACTACTAAAATTACATTTCATGTATTCAGTTTTAGTTCTACTTAAATGAGGGCCTTTAGACCCCAATGTAGACCTCCATAATTCAAGTTTTTCCTGGGCTTTTTCTCTTGTTTTATCCACGAGATAGTATGAAACTTTAAATTAAAATTTTAAAGTTTAACCGCATTTTTAACTGATCAATTTGCAACGATTTATAGGTTACAATATCCTTGGAGATCCACGGGTCATTGCTAACTTGGGATTGGATATGATTCCCAACTTGGCTTCCTTCAAGAGGATGTTCAGGAAGAAGAAAATCTCATTTTAATGGATGAAATCAACTGATGAGAAGTTGGGTAGAGACTATAAATGAATGAGCGAGAGAGGAGAAAGAAGCTGAAAAGAGTATTTCTTTGAAAATCATAAAATCAACTCATCCAAATGTGTCGCGTTCAACCTCAACTACACTAGTAAGGGGCCTCTTTAAAAGATGACTTCACTCGTGATGATAGCCTCAACTTCAGTGATTACAGGTAAGGTTGCATCAAAGATAAGTTAGATGGTAGAGACAACACCACTTTTGAGAAGTTATCCTTGCTTAAGCTGACAATACTCAAGAAATTGACCCAACAAATTTCAAGTAATTCTAAAAGTATAGTTATTTTGAATTCAAACTCCTTGAGCATGGTGGTACATCATAAAAAAAAAATCCAAAAATTGTGAGACTAAAAACAGCACCAAAAGTGAGCAAGGAAAATAAAAGGAAAAAAAGAATCAATGATGCAACCTTATCATGTTTTTAAAAGTTCAAATTGCAAAGACGCCAATAAGGCAGCTTTTTCATCAATAAGAAAACAAAATATAAACAATGTTAACTTCAATGTAGATCCACTTGCCCCAAAGGGAGAATTGAATTTAGTTAAGTATGATCTTGGTCCCTTAATCCTCTCGAGCTAGTTAACCAAAGATTGGGAGGAATTCCAAAAGGCCCAACTCATATGAATGTTATATGAATCCAATTGGAGCATTGCCAGTTTACTTGTTCTTTGACCAAACCTTGAAGAAGATCATGCACATTTTGAGGGTCAATTCAATTAACTTACCAATCTGACTAAAAGGAGAAAGAGATGGAGTCTGCCTTCGATAATAAGAGAAGTGTCTTCAAAAAAATTATAAAAAAAGGGTTCAAGAAAATAAGTATGAGTTTTCCTCCGCACATAGTTTAAAATTACACAATTAGTTATTAAGGTTTTTTTGTCAATGTTACGAGACAAATCTCGAGATGTTTTGCCGTAAGCCTCAAAATCAATAAATAGCACAAAGCAAGATGTAGTGTAAGTTCAAACTATATACTAAAAAGTAACATTAAAACCCTAATTTACTAATACATTATCCTAATATAGTAAGAGAATAAATTATTTAAAGTAAGAAGTAACATGTTGACATATAAACATTGAATCATAAAATAACAAATATATACTAAAATTATAAAGAGATTATAACATAACAACTCAAATAAATTTAACACAATTAGTCTCTATTAAACTCCAAATATCATCAATCAAAGTAAGAATATAATAAGTCACCAAGATTAGAATTTATAAATTTAAAAGTTCCCATTAAGATCATTAACATAAGGATGTACTTTCTCTCTCACCTCATTCTCAATTTTATCTATATTCTTTCATTCCTCATTTTAAATTTCAATCATCATTCTCTTAATTAAACCATATTAATTAATTAAAATATTTATTTGACCTTGAAATAATGACTAATGTTGATAGTAACACTTCAATTGCATTCTCATTTGTGTATATATGGGCAAACAATGAATGTTTATTAAATTTATTAAATTTATATTTATTTTAAGGAACACTCTACTTCTTATTGCCAAGTCAACCTCAAGGCCCTCATATCATACAAATTTAAATCATGTCTCCAACTTAAAAGACAAAGTTAGTGAATGAAATGAGTCTTCTCTTGCTATAGTGGTCAACCATATAGAGAAGGCACGACTAGATATAATTTCAATAAGAATATTTTTGAAATTTAACAGCACATGGATACCTTTTGAAAGTAATAATCAGAAAGTCATGTAACTTTAGAATTTGTTAACATTATAATCAATGATGATTGTCATTAGAAGCCCATTGTGATAAATGATGTTGGCCTAAATGTGTTTACTAACAATTATTAAAATTGTCTCTGTAAGTGCTTAGACTTCAGTTCACTCCATAATGTAATTGTTCATGACCATAATAAATCTATTTGCAAGAAGGAAAAAGTTGAATAAATGGTTAAGGAATATATATCAGCTTGAAGCTCATGAGAAGGTTAACGCAGCAAAGGAGCAAAGTTCTGATTTTAAATGCACTGTCAATTCTTTTGATTCATTTCACAAAATTAGCCATAAGTAACATTGTTAAGAACTTAATGGAAAAGTGCACTTCCTCATGGGACTATCACACTCTCCATGGTATATCTCCTTCAGATGTTGTGATCTCAATATTGTGTGCATGTTGAAGATTGCTTGTAGAGAGTGATGAAGATCTTAGCATACATGTAACGACTAATGAGATTTTCTAATGATAATCATTTCAAAATAACATCACAACAAAAGTTATTTAACTAGTGTAAGTTTTATGATATAAAATTTGTGTTTATACACCAATGCAATAATTTTTGTCAAATCGATTAATCTCTAGACCTTCAATAATGCCATTTCGGTGCATGATCACCCAATTTCTACAATGGTGTTTGAAGAGACATTAATGTGGAGAGCATTCAAGTCACTAAGATACTAACGCTCATAGTCTAGAGTTCAATGATAGTTTGGAGCTCCCAAAAAATAGTCCACTTTGTTACTTTCTATGTCATTGATATTTAAGTTTAGTGACAATTTTGTCAAGACACTTCCTAATCTATTATTTTTTTTTAATATGGACAATTGTGCTTCATGTTGGAAAACTAGAAATAAAAAAACACATTAAAGATTTTAAATCTTGTTAATTGCTATTATAGTTATATATGATACACAAAAATGCTTATTAAGAAAAAACTTCAATTGTTTTGTCGTATTAACAAAATGTTTCTAAAATCATGATTAATGAACATTTAGTAGAGTGTAACGGTTTAGTAATATCCTTAGTTAAGAACTTCCTTATTTCAAAATAACAATCTAAGGTAGCTTAAAATGCTTATTAAGAAAAAACTTCAATTGTTTTGTGGTATTAACAAAATGTCTCTAAAATCATGATTAATGAACATTTAGTAGAGTGTAACGGTTTAGTAATATCCTTAGTTAAGAACTTCCTTATTTCAAAATAACAATCTAAGGTAGCTTAAATGTTTGCTTGATTATTAAAAATTTTAGCACATTCATCAAATATTAATATGCATGTTTTTGTGATTTATTAGTTCTCATTCACTAATTCAACCAATAATTATTGCAAAATGAAAAATTACTTTCTGTTAATCCTCATGTCAAATCCTCCTAAACATAATCTATCTTCTTTAATCCCATTATCTATTGAGTAACTTCCAAAAACTTTTTATAGATTAGATAAAATAAAATATATGGATGACCAAACAAATTTCAGATTAACTTTTGTTTATCAGATTGTAGGGACCTAGTCCAATTAACTGACTCCTACTTACACCCAAATAGCTCCTAAAGCTTAAATAACCCAGCAACAGTATTTTTCCTTTTTAAATGTTGGTTTCCCTCAGCATATAGCATCCCATTTCAATGAAAAAAAAGCCCATGCTTGTTTCAGAAATTTCTGTTTTCATATAACTTTTAATAGCTTCAAAAGTAAAAGGGTTCATAAAGATCCAAGAAAGGCCCTCAATTTTTTATCTAAGAGTGGCGACAGAACAATAACCTTCAATTTTTTATCTAAGAGTGGCGACAGAACAATAATAGAATTGAGTATTCACTCTAAGGTACTGTCTGACAACAGATGAATTTAAAGGTATTATGATCTAATAAATCAAGTAAATCCTGATTTATTATGCCCCGAATGGGTTAAATCTGAAAATCTTGACACCGAATTTACTAAATCCTGTAAACTCAATAGAACTGTTTGGCAATTTCCGCAGGGATTTAAGAAGTAGTTACTGTCGTTGGAGATAGTTGAAAGCCTGCAAAGTTAAATCCACCAGTTCATGGGATATAGGCATTTACAGCTGATGTCCGTGAAATCCGGATTTACGGCTTCCAGGGATTTGTTTTGTCCAAAATGACCGTATGGTAGGATTTTGCTTAAATTCTACGTAAATTCTAGGTTAAATATGTTGCGAGGCAGCCCCTACTATAGGATGTAGCTATAAGTCAGCAAATATCTATGGTGCGTCGAAACTGCCACTAGTGCTCTTGCGAAATATTATGCCATCTATATATGCTTACAATTTCTTCCTCGATTCTATCAAGGTGATTTTTTTTCCATAAATACTTTGATTATCATACATTGAATAAAGATGGGCTGAGAACAGAGTAAGTCCTCCAAAGATACAAGTCAGTGAAGCTAATCCGATCCAAAAGGCACACGTCCCTTTGCCCCCTCCATGGATCTACCCATCGAAAGGATAAAATTGCACAAAATAACTACAAAAAAAAACTTAGTGGCTGTCTGCTAACGGATTTAATGCAGGATTTAACCTGTATTTAACCTAGATCCTGTCAGACGGTCAGTTTGGATAAAATAAAGCCGCGAATTTCATAAATCCAGATTTTACTCATTTGGGCCGTAAGTTCAAGATTTACCAAATCCTGTTACTCGGCGGATTCAGCGAATCCGGGACGGACAATTCGCGCGAAAAAGAAGATATGAAGTTACCTTCCTCCATCTGTCTCCATGGTTTCGGGTAGGAGCAGTGCGGAAGGAGAATAAAGATGGGAGTTTCGGGTCTCTGTACGAGGCGATCCCGCCGTTGCCTTCCCAGTTAGCTCGAATTGCAATTGTATCGCGAGTGTTCGATCACAAAGGCGATGGTTTTAGGCGAAACCGGAGAGGGAGTAGGGACGTAGGCGAGAGTCTCGGGCAGGAGAGAGAAGGTACTTTGGGCGAAACCGGCAGAAGGAGAGCGATGTACGCCAGTACGCGAGGGTAAGGGAGGGGAAGGCGATCGGACAGAGATGAGCAGGGGAGATGATTATTATTTTAATTTACGCTGTGTTTGGCAGCTACAATTGTTTTGCATTTGTGAAAATGCTGATGAAGATAAAAAAAAAGGTTATGGCGGCTACTCTTAAAAATAATAATAATATTAATATAAAAAAAAATTTAAAGGTAAGACTTTAATTTTCTAACAGCTATCACAATTAGCTAAAACGTAGATTTCACAAATATTTTTTTTAAAAGATCCACATTACCATTATGCACAATTGCATGGCTACCTCAAATGCACTCATAGTTTTATTTAAGTTAATTTTTATTAATTTAATTAATTAATAATTTATTTTAGTTATAATATTATGAAATAAATTACGTTTGGATAAATTTATCTGTAATTATTTAATAATAAAATATATTTACATTTTAAGTTATGTAATAGTTAATTGCATCATTTTGCATGTCATGAGGATGAGCTATCGTGCTTCTTCAATTTGATTGGCCAAGCATAGTTTTTTTATATAGGTGATTGCCTAGAGTGCACAGGGTGTTAGAATCTCCCGACCTGAATCAGGCGTAAGTTCTTTGTGATATAGTTCTGGCTTTATAGTCGAACCCCTATAATTTTTTCCTTCCAAAGGCATACTCGTCGCTTTTCTCGGCAGTTTTATGCCCCACTTTTGTGAATCTCACCCATAGATTAGAGGTTTCTTTCATTTGACTTTAGGGATATTGGGATTCCTAGGACAACACAACACATGGGTTGTCTTAGGTTGACTTGGGTCATCCACTTTCACAACTAGGTAAACCTAAGATCTTAATTGCTTGGACTTATGGATCCATGGATTTATGATCCAACTATATTTACCCAATTAGGATTTTTTTATCATTTTTTATTGATAAACGCTTTGAGCTCATTCTTCCTTAAATACCTCATTGATAGGTAGTCGCTTATTTGGTTAAGGTGATTCACCCTTAGCCCTTATGGCCTGATAGACTTTGATGCATATGGATGTTCTTATTGAAATGACCTGCTTATTTCCTAGGCCTCACTTACCAACAAGTTGTTTTCCATTCGCAGATGTGAGGGATTCGCCTTCCTCTTTTCGTTCAGTATATGCTCTAGAAATGGTGGGATGTTCTTAGTTGACATAACTAAGTTTCTTTGATATACCTATTTTACAGTTATCATAATATGGAAGTAGGGTTCTTATTATCGAGAGTTTTTTTTGTATCCTCGAGATGTAATTAGCCAAAGGGACAAGTTCTTTTGGGAATGCTCTTGATACCATAACAAAATATTAATTTTCATTATCTGGTTATATGGGTTTCTTATGTATGGAACTTCTTCGTGGATACATGCTTTAAGATGTTTTGGTTTGATCTCATTTTGGACGCACTGTCATGACATATTACATGAGGATGACCTTACAGTTATCTGGTTATATGGGTGTATGGAACTTCTTCGTGGATACATGCTTTAGTTTTGGTTTGATCTCATTTTGGACACACTGTCATGACATATTACATGAGGATGACCTTACATAAGCTCTTAATTTTCTTTTTTTACTTAATTTGTTTGCTTGGTTTCTTTTCTTATTTTCTCTTTTTTTGAGTTCTCTTCTTTCTTTATGCCATTTCAATGATTCAAGAAAAAGAGCTACTTAGAATTTAGAAAAGAATATTATAAGATGTTAATCAGACAAGTTGGAGACCCTAAGTTTAAAAAGAACCATAACAAATCTAGTGATTATGTTGGGAAGCAACTAGACAATCAAGGTGGTCTAACTGATACAACGTACCTCTTGATAAGGTGACCTAAAATCAACTAAGTTGAACAAAATATCAAGAATTTAGGTAAGCAAGGTAGCCTAACAATGGGGCGTTTAGTTTTAAACTAAACTCAAGCTTTTATATTTCAAGAATATCCACCACATTTATTTATAATGAATGGGTGTTTAGCTTTATGCTAAACTTAAGTATATATCTTTTAAGAATATCTGTCACATTCATTTATGATGACTGGATATTATTGATTTGGAACCTGCACAAAACATATAACTAAATAGAAATATTAAGAAATGTGCATGGATTTTCTTACATATATATTATTGTCAAGAACTTTGTTGAATGATTTTCTTAGCAAGTAACCATCATAGACAATTCACATATCAATGAAATATTAAAAGATACATCGCATATATTAATTATTAATTGAGTTACAAAATATATCAAAGATTTGAACATAAGAAAATTTATACATCAAGTACAAAATAGGCCTAAGCCTAAGCATAATATCTTTTTAAGTACCTCTTGTTAATATTGGGCATCAATTGAGATCCATGAGCATTAATAAGCATGTAGGCTCCTCCTTCAAAGATGTTTTCAATGATAAAAGGTATTTCTCAAGTGGCTTCAAACTTCCCATGGTTGTTTTGGTGAGTCACTATGGGGCGATGTAAAAGCAAACCATGTTTCCAACCACTAAGGTACTTGGCCTCACCAACTTATCATGGGACCATCCGAGTGTGATATAGCTCAAAGTTTTGTTGGGCTTGCAATATGATACCGTCAGGTTTATCAAGTTCTACCAACCTAAAGTCAAATATTTTCATCACTACTAATATTGTTGCTTATGACAACACACAACGATAGTAATTTAACTTCCAAATGAATGACTGTTTTGGACCCAAAAGTCAAAATATATAGAAAAGAACTAGTGAGTGTACAGTATGTCATACGATATGCTCACAAAGCTTTTGAGAGCTTTCATGCTATTCTTTCTTATTGGCATGCAAAATTTTCCTTGCAAGATTTACCAAAGTCTTATTAAAAGCTTTGGTCAAGTCATTTACTCTTGGATAATATGTTGTAGAATATCGTTAATCGATCTTATGATGATGAGTGAATCAATTAATTTTGGTGTTCTTAAAAGTCAACTCTTTATCATGAATAATCTGGTGGTGTACACCAAATAGATAGACGATATTGTTTTAAAATAAATGCAACACATTATCGACATTTACCTCCCTTGAAGGGATGACTTCCACCCACTTAAAAAAATAGTCGGTGGCTACAAAAATAAATGTACGTCCTTTAAAGCATGGAGGGTCGATATGCCCTACAATATCAATATCTCAGGCCTTGAAAGACCATGATGGCACTATATGATGTTGTGCATTTGAGGGGTAATGAATAACATGGCCAAATACTTGGCACTAATGATATCTCTTGGCACACTCCCTGCAATTAAGAGTCGACCAATAATAGTCAAGCCTCTTAATCTTAATTTTAATCTTTGGATCTGATTGATTTGATCCACATGTGCCCCCATGAACCTCAGTCATGAGCACTTGTGCTTCATCTCTCTTGACACATCGCAACCACATATGCTTAAAAGAGTGTTGATACAAAGTATCATTCATGATTGTAAATGAGAGTGTTTTATTTTAAATTTGAGAAGCAAGGGAGCAATCATTAGAGAGTATCCCTTTTGTCAAATACAGGATTATGGCTTGACGCCAATTCTCATGTGCCTCATTAGAAGTAGCAAGAACAACCTCTTCGGTAACCTAAGGTGTATCCTTTAGGGAATTAGAAGGCACCGATGACAGGACCCTTCTATCTTGGATCACCACTGTCACGGGATCCCCATTAGGACTCGATAATTCTTTAGCCAGCTTAGCAAGAGCGTTGCTTTTTTATTATGGGATAGATGTATTTTTATTAATGTAACATCTAGGATAAGTTCTAATAATGTCATTACCTTTCTATGATAAGCTAAAAACTTAAGTTTAAGAACCTTATAAGCTCCCAACATCTGCTTGATTATGAGCTAAGAATCTCTGCAAACTTTGACCCTCTATATATGCATGGTCATTTCAAGCCTACCATATTTTGCTTCATTATTCATACATGACTCTGTCAAGCTATAAGAATAGCAATACCACTCAAGGGATACAAAGATCAAAGCAACCACCACTTTCACCCTTGGGAGAGATCCCGATAGGCCTTCTTTTAAGGAAGACTCTTCATCGAAATACAACTCCCATTATGTGGAATTGATGACCATCATATGTTCATTAAGGAAATCATCATTAAGTGGTGAATCTATCAAGATTGGGTGAGCTGCTAGTAAATCAGCAAAAAAATTTCCCTTGATGACCCACTGAGGAACATATGAAATGTCAAATTGCGATAGGATCATAGCTCATCTGACCAATCGTCCTGCTAAAGTGGGATGAGTCATCAGGTATTGTAAGGGATTTACCCTTGAGATCAAATCAATATGATGTAAGAGCATGTAATGCCTTAATTTTAACTAAAAATAATAACGCCAATAGTTTTTTTCGATTAGTGAATCTTTCATTATAGTTGGGATGAAATGCCAACTAAGATAGTACAAGACATTCTCTTTCCCCTTCTAATAGCTTGACTTAGTAAGGCCCCTAAGACTCATCTAAGGCAATAATATACAAAATGAGGGGTTTTCCTGTGATGAGAGTTTCTACTATTGGTGGATTCAATAAATAATGTTTGATATCATCAAAGGCATCTTGACATGTCTTAGAAAATGAAGATCCCTCTTTGTTAACGCAGGATAAAGCTGGCATCGATTAGAAAGATTGGAAATAAATCTCCTAATGAAAGTATGCTTCCCTTAAAAAGAACACAGCCAAGTCAATCTCTTAGGAGGTTCCATATCAATGATAGATTTTATCTTACTGGAATCAATTTCAATGCCTTTATGATGGACAATGAAGCCCAAAAATTTCTTGGATGATATGCTAAATGCGCACTTCAATGGGTTCATTTTCATGTCATATTTCCTAAGGCACTAAAAGTGACTTTTTTTTTTAGAGATGATCCTCTGTAGAATGACTTTTAATTACTATATTGTCAATACAACATTCAACTTGGTGATGTAACAAGCCATCAAAGATGTTTGTCATAGTACGTTGATAGGTTGCCCCAACATTCTTCAAGTCGAAAGACATAATCCTATATAAAAAAAATATCAAGGGCTATGAAATGTCATATGTTGTTCTTCTTCTAAGGCAATCCAAATTTAATTATAACTAGATATGCCATTCA